TCATGATAAAAAATGTTTGCATTGAATGTATTAAGATTAATTATTAATAAGGAAACAAGTATATTTTCGTAAGGTTAGAGCTTTGAGACTCAGTTGCAAAATTTACAGTTCAGTTTGCTCAGTGGTTGAAGTTAAAATATATTTAAAACTAAGTTTAGGGCAACTGTTAACAGCATTAACCATGTCTTTTGAAGCTTTACTTCAGAACTGTCTATATTACAGTTTGACTGTACAACCTACTCTGTTATGGCATGAGTCTGAACAAGCAAGGATGTATGAAGCAATTATAGAAGGAGGGGAAAATATGACTCCAAAAAAAGTCTGCTTAATATATACATTTTCAATGAGCATAAATTTAAAAGAGTTCGCTCTCTAATAGTGCTGGACATTTTTTCCATCTGCTTGATCATCACAGATTTGTGGCATGAAGTTCAATAGGACACAAACTGCAATAGCTTCCCAAAGAGTCAACATGATAAAAATGTCTTCCAGAACTGGGTTGAAACAGAATTTGCAACAAAAAACATGTTTACTTATACAGAACAAAAAAAATGAACTGGCAGAGGAAAGTACTTTTTCTACTACCATACTTTCAATCCATAAACTACAAGTACCTTTGGAATATAAAGTTGACAAGAGCATTTAAAGAAGAAGCTCCAAAATTATACTCTGCATAAAATTATTTCTAGATTTATGTTCCTCCTGTAACAAAGGGATTAGTCAGGAAAACACCGCCATGAATGTCCATTTGCAACTGGTGAGGCGCTCCTGTACAGCATCTTTGCACAGCTGGGGATGACTTCAATCTTCTGCATGCCCCCACACACATCTGCTAGGAGCACACAGATTTCTGTCTCTTTGAGGGATTGCCAGTACACCTGGCAGAAAGACATGACCCTGCTCCTCCCTTGTGATGGGCAGAAAAACTGACAGGCACAGAGATCGTATTGCACCCAACACCCTGGTTCCAAGCAAAAGAAGTCTAGGAGACAGTGTGTGCTAAGATATCACTGCTGCTGCTGAGACCAAGGACCAGAACTGTAAAGGGAAACAAATCATCCTATCTGAGAGTTTGTGCTGGGCAGAGCACGCCCAAGTATCCCATTCAAAAGGCTGTCCACAAGAAGTACCAGAATGGAAAAGGACTGCAGCTGTCTGTGCTGCACTGAAGTACAAACTGCCACTTTCTTGTACCAGCAACTAGCAACACAGTGTTTTTTCTTTTCTCTTTTCTTTTGTTTTAATTATGAGATTCTTTCAAACTCCTAAGATTTCTTCTTCTTTCTCCTTTACAAATGAACAAGATGCTTAATTAATTTTAAAGTTGGCACTGATTAATATCCCAATGAACAACACTGCAATCCTTCAAAATACTGTTCTATGTATTTCTATTTCCTAAGTAATACTGGAACATGCTGGGAGGAAGTGAAGTAATACTGATCTCCTGCACATTATGCCAAATAAGCAGATTGCGTTTGCTTAGGAAATGCTGATAAGTAAGAACTGCTTAACAGAAAACACATTTGAGTTCACACTTACCAAATGACAATCAAAAACTATTAAGAATGAAAAAAGGAAGAACACATACATTCATTTTTTAACCATGCTGAAAAACCTTGCATTTTCTTTATTTCACAAAAAACTACAAGTTGAGAGCAAGAGGACAGACAAAGACTCGGCCTTCATTTCGAATGCTTTTACAAAAAGGAAGGTTTGGGGGCTTTTGTCCCTGCAAACTGTTTCAGAAGGGGGAAAAAAAATTGCATTTCTAGCTCAATTATGAACAACTCTTCTTAGCTGAAACCTACTTTCTGTCATCAGATGTGGAATAAAAGATCATCCCCCTGATTTTTAAATGGTTTCTTTGGGAAAAAAACTGCTATCTTGAGTTCAGGTGCCGTTTTTATAGTCACTCTGCAAATCTGATTCATATCTAATATGTATTTGTGCATTTCACACATGTAGACATTTCCAGGCAAGAACAAAGCAGGGATATCACAAGCATCTAAATTTGTCTGAAAATATCTTAGGAATTTCAGTGTTGAATAATACAAATGCTCTGTTGTGCAAAGAAGTAAAACTGAATACTTGAACGTAAGATTCTCCAGTTCCTGAACTGTTATCTCCAAGAGAGTAAACCTCTAGAGTACATCTCCACATGACACATTTATCTAAAGTGGCTGCACACACGTAACGATGGCTTTTGTTTTGTGATCGTGGTCATTTTGAGTTTGTTTAAATACTGCAGCCCAATGCCTATACGCTAATCCCAGAACATTCTGAAACGTTTCAAAGCTTTTAGCGGGAGGAACCTCTTGCATAGGCTTTGTAGATGAAGCTGACCACAGTTCACTGGAACCAGCCAGCTCAGATAAATAAGATGAAAGCAGACATTTCCTGAAAATATCTTGAAAGCTTTCCATTAGACTGTACCAGGGGTATACAGTAAAAACAGCAAGTGCCCATGCTTATATAGCAACCAATCTTCCCACTGCTTTCTCCATTCCGTCTTGATTACTGTCTGTGTATCTATTTATCTGCTTCACTTTAACATCTTGTAAAGTACTTTGGGAGAAAAAGGATGCAACTTCTGTTTGCTGGTTTACATTACAAAGTAGTTACTGGTGTAACACAAAATTCTACTTAACATTGATATTAAATATGACAGGGAGATACAAAAATTTACAACACCTAATGGGCAAAAAAATCAGAAATTTGATCTACGGAACATTTCAGAGTCAGCCACTCCACAATAGGCATGAATGCAAGCATTCACACAAAATTCTCTGGCTGTCGAAGTGTATTCTAAGAAAGTCAATACAGTCACAAAGACAGGAGTGCCTCAGGCTAGATTTTCAATTTGATTGAATAAATCCAGCTGTTCACTAGAAAGAGGAAATGCTTCACCACTGGGATCTCCAACATTTTATAATTCTAGAAAGATCGTCAGACCACTTACTGTCAGGTACTTTACTTCAGAACAATGAATTAGAAGTCCAAGTTTCTTTAACAGTCAAAAAATTCGAGGGCATTTAAGTGCTTAGAATGATTTTTGGAAGGAAAGCCAGCAGAATACAAAGGGAGCCCAGATCTTATCTAAGCACTAAAATTAGGTGTAAGATTGGGCGTTGACACTATCCTACATGTAGATTCTACAAAGATTCAATTCACAAACTTTTAATGAAGAAAGGATGACATTATCATAGTACAAACTATTAAGCAGTGATAAGTCTTTAGGTCAGTATAGCTGTAATGATAATATTGAGTCTCCCAATAGCACAGAAAGTGTCATTGTACTCTGAAAGTGCACTGTGAACTTAAGCACACCGTATGTCCCTAGGAGAAGGAAGTGGTGAACCACAATATCGATGCACAAAGTCGAGTGCAAGTCCAACAGTTGCTACTTTAAACAAAGTTTGCCTCCTTCCAAACAAAACAAAAATACTTGAGGTCTTAGAAGTTTCTTTTCATATATACCCTGAAATCCCATGCTCACCCTGCCTTCTTTAGTTTGTGTTCTTACGCCTCATGCAGCACAGGGTATATGTAATGTGGTTGGTCTTCCTGCTGGAAAGAGGAAGTTTCAGGGTCTTGCTTATGCTACTGCACTCCTGAGCATTACGACAAAAAAGTCATCCTGTGTTGGGCTGGGTCAAGACATTGGAATACATTACTGGAATAACTCATTTATTTAGGCATGGACCCCTAGAAAGCAAAGGTAAAAAAAAAAAAAACCTTGGTTCTCTGCTTCTACTGATTGCTTCCAAGACTGCCTGCTACTTGTAGAACATTTAAAAGCAATTGTAAAACAACCATTAGCTATGACAACATTTAGACCTCATCATAATGCAGCACAGACCAGCTATATATTTTAGCTTCCGTTCAGAAGAGTCACAATTTCCTTAAATGTACAGAAGCTACTTGAAAAATTCATAAGATCTGTTTCACAAATTACCAATTCAACCATAAGAATATATAGTAAAAATGACAAAAGATTTGTTCTTATAGTTGATAAAAAATGTATGCCAAGGCATTCAAGTAAAGTTACTTTCTGTGTTCTGATTTAATGAATCATTTGAGCGGTATCTGGCTGGGTGACAGAGATGCAAGGCTCGCTGAAGCCTACTCTAATGCCTACTGGTATAGCCTTCCTTGGGACAGTAAAGCCAGAACAATGTGTCAGACTGAAGTAATATCAAAGAAAGTAAATGCAGTACTGGGGATGCTATGAGGTTGGCCCACAACATCTCTTGACCTGTGAATATCTGTAAGTACTTCTCTGTCCTACTGGCTCCAGTGACCCAGGAAACGCAAAAGAAGAAGCAGCAGTGCGGTAATAAACGGCCTCTGAAATAAGATTTCTGCAATCTTGTAATTCAAGCTGAAAGACATACAAAGATTGCTTGATGGTTTAACCCTATTAAAAAGCAGGGCCTGACACTATGTGAAACCACCAGTGATTTCTTAAAAGATGAACTAATTTTAAATAATGTTTAATGTGAATTTCATAGAGAACTGTCTGTTTTATGCATTGCAAAGTTTATATTCTTAATTTGGAAAATATAAATTAATGATGCATGTGACTACAACTTTTATAATTCATGCTTATGCATAGAATCTGACTGAAAAAGACTTACCTTTAGGGAAATAAATTGACTTTAATGGTGAAAGTGACATTAAAACAAGAAAACAAAATTCAAATAATACATGTCATTTTGTCCCACTATTAGAGAAGGGCAGACTAGTGAATAGAAGAGACTGAAACAACCCCTTTCTTCCATCCTTCTTTAAAAATATCTAAAACTTAGTTAGCTCTTAAAAATAACACTGTCCATTGCTAACATTTTGTTTCAAATATTTTATTTCATTTGCATTAAAAATATTTCTGTTGATTCCTCCAGTCAATTTCAAGAAGTCTTTCCTCTGTTTTATCTGAAAATTAAACATTCTGTTGACAGGCTAGTTAGGACAATTGTGTATGAGAATAAAAGGGTACTTACACAGATAATAGAACAATAGCAATTAGAGTCCATTCAGGCATTTTGTGAATAATATTTGTGTTTGTTAACCTGAAAAATAGCAATTAGAAAAATCAATTCATCAATCAAAAAAATTCATTTCATAGTGAAAGTAAACAGATTTTAACTGCTGAATTCAAGTCAGCCCTTTAAAGACTTAGTATGCCACAGTACAGTGTGGCATTCACAGTCCCATGTGAGCAGTCAGCCAACTTTCTGTCTCTCTCCTCTTAGCTGGCCTCAGAGCAATTACAAAATTGCCAGTATGTGTTTTTGTTCCGGAAAGAAGTGGGATGAGGAAGATAGAACAGAAGCCAATTCTTTGAATTCATAGCCTTGGCTGCTATGAAGGCTCAACTCTCCCTGACACCCAATAGGAAATTCCAAGATCCACATATATGCTTTCTGTAAAGATAGGCCTTCTTCCTTACTGGTTTCAGATCTAGATTTGCTGTAAAAGCTAATTTTGCATTGTAGTAAAAATAGTAAATCACAGCTTGAAACAGTGATTGAGCACCTGATGGGAAGGCAGGGACAACCCAGGGGAGCTCAGCTGCATGTGATGCACCTGAGTAACCATAAGGGGTGGATCCAGTCCTTCCCAGACCTCATTTAAGGGCTGGCAGTGGAGGTGAGGGTATCTTGCTGAAGTTCCTTGCCTATGGGAGGCCTTCCAAAGGTAAGCAGGTTTTATTCCTTTATTTCTCGATCTACAGATGCTGCACTTGGGTTTATTTGCTGCAGCCTGGGATTGTGCTACTCTGCTGCTATTGCTATATTTCCCATCACGTTGCAGCAATACATACGTGAACATATGGGACTTTAAGATACTAGAGAAAGTCCTCTGATGATTTGTGTTAGTAAAATGGAAACCTACAATTCTAACTTAAGCAATGGGCATCAGAGCAGGAAAATGAAGTGTGAAGAACCACAAAGATGCTCAACAACAGGATTGCTACATCTTATATCCTCTGGTCCCTGTGATTTAATTCAGTAGTAATACAGTTTGACTTAAACTCAAATGTTAATGTGACTTAACAATTCACATATTGTTTTATGGATGAATTTAAGCATGACTGGTGCTGTTTGTGATGAGCAATTTTATGGAAAAGCCACAGCTCAAAAAGAATGTGTAGCTTTATGGGAACCCCCAAAAAAACCCTAGCAGAACTAATTTTATTTAGACAGATGCTGCCATGTAATAGACATGCTGAAGGGGGAGCGCCTTAGTATGTTTGCTTCCTTCTTCCACTCTGCTTGCCTTCTCTGTAGTCTTACATAAATCAGACACAGAATGAAGCTATTCTGTCACTCACTACTGGCGCTGGAGAAGACGGAAGGTTGTTAACAGGTCTGAAAATAAACCCTTTTGTCTAGAAGGAGACACTTACTAAAAGTACAAATTTCACCTGCTCTATCAGGGGCTTTAGATTCTTCCTCATTAGAAGAGGAGATAGCGGACATCAACCACCGCAGAGGTAAAGCAAAAGACTTCTATACCATGTTCAAGGCTCATTCTCGGAGAAAAGACTTAAATCTGTTTTGAGCATCTCAAAAGAAGATTTAATACCTGGGAGTTTTCTATAACTGCTAGCCTAGTCACAGAAGCTTTATCACTGAATCCCTTCACCTTATCAGCTCTGATTTTATCAAAATAGTACCAACTGAGCATGATCAGGGTAGCATGACAGATGCTTGTAACACAATTAATGGAAGCTCCAAAAAAATCAAAAGCTAATCTACCTCTAATTCATTACTAAAACACAGCTGTGTGTAGGCATACTGTTTTTCCTGATTGAGTACAATAAATCCAGCTTCAGAACGGAACCATGCTCAAGGGATCCCAAAGTGTAATGATCTATGATGATCAGTTAAACATTGAAGTTTCCAATATAGTCTTCTTACTTTTCCTCCTTCAAAGGGCAGTTTTAAAATGAAATAGCTCTTAACAAATTGAATTCCCTGGTTTTCTTCACTCAGTAAGGCTTTTAATTTCTTTAGGAAATTAGATAACAAAAATACCCAAGAACACTGGAAAAGTGTTAGTACTTGCCCTTGTTAAAACTCAACTTCTCTTTTCTCAGTTTGGGAAAATTACACAATTCTTTTCAAAATTACTATAAAAAATACAGTTGTAAATAAGACATTTTATAGGATTGCTTCCCTTATTTTAGAAATGCACTTAATTTTTTATTTTTTTTTTTTAAAAGGATACTAATGATTATAGCAATATTATTCCATTTTCTTTCTCAAGGCTGCTATCAATGTAAGATTTTTTTTTAAGCTGTAATTACTAAAGTAGTATTTCAACAGCCCTACTTTTGTTAAACAATGAAAGAAAAGTCAACATATAATACTGTGTATAGGAATTATGTCAAACTAGAATGATAGTATTGATAAATACAAATTATTTTTTTAAAAAGATGCACATTTACCAACCACTATTAAAATAGCCAATGGCAGCAGCTGGCAGCAAAGCTAGTAACTGATAAACTGTTTCATTTTTCTGGTTGTAGAAAAAGAAACAAAACAAAGGCTGAAGGTCTTGACTCAATACTGATGACAGTGATAAACACTAAGAAATGTCTGATGGAATCATCTTGACAGACAATTCATATGTAACATTCCAGTTAATCTGCTATGATAAAACACAGTGGAAGAGACAGATCCAAAACACCTGGGAAAACACTGTCAAATAGTGAAAGCATCTTTATTTCATTGCTCTACAAGGAGTTATTATTGATTAGAGCACAGGAAGGTGTCATTCTTGTACACAAACTGAGAGATACAGTTATTTGTGTCAATTAACTCTTATTCAATGTTAGTATTGATTGGCAAGCTCTCAACACTAGTCACTGCCATCAATATGCTATTTATGAAGGAGGCAGTCATAAGATGCAGATAACCAGCAGGATATGCCAGTATGGATTTGCTGATGTACTGCTGTCACTGGACTGGATGAAGTGAGGCTCCCACAACCTTTCAGTACAACACCTGTCCTAAAGCGCTTGTGCAACTGGAAAAGAAAACATTTTAGGCTGATCAGACTAAAGCTAGCAACCTACAGGTGTGAAGCCTTAAGTAATATGGAACAGTGGAAGGGCAGTCACTTTCAAGAACAAGCAGTGTGTCAATACAAAGGCCTCTAAAGAGTAAAGCTTTCAGGAAACAGGGAAGTGCAAATCCTCTGCAAAAATGGTTCATTAATTCTTTGTCTTGCCTTTGGCCATAACTAGTACTTCAGAACAACTTGTGAAAGACAGGATAAAAAGGTCACCACATTTGTCTCACATTATGGAAATGTTTAAATACAGCAGAAGTTTTAAGATGTGATTTTGGGCAGAGAAATATTTTCTATTAAAGAGTTTAGTTAAACTTTCTCACACCTACCTAAAGAAAGAAAAGAATGTGCAACTTTTCAAAAGTGAGCGTCTCTACTTACTTATTCCCTAAAAATGGACAGGTAAGCCATGAATGCTGCATGGGTTTCTTAGTTGCTCGTGAGTATTGCGGTTCATGCCAGCACAGCTTGCAGGAAGGATGTGCTATGACTGGACTAACTTCTTCCCTCAGCCATTAGACAAAAGGACCAAAAAAGCTCCCACAAAGAAGATGAGAATGAGTAGATGCATCACAGTGACAGAAATTGACAGGAAAAGGAATAAAGAGTAAGGTACAGACAAATTCCATTGCAAACCACCTTCCAGTAACCGACTGGAGCTCAGCCTGCAAAAAAATGTGAACTCTAATATGGAAGTTCTGGGAATACAGAGAAGTCCTAGCTTGAGGTAACCAGTAAATGGAAAACTAAACCCAATAATGACACAAAGAGCACACACAGTTGGTCCTTTTCCTTCAGTCATCTTCCCATTCAGTTACTTAGACACTGATTTTACTAGTGGTTTACTACCATTAGCAAATGCTGGCCTGAATTGTAACCAATGCCTGCCGTGGAAGCAAAGTTAAGTACTTCCCTATGAGCCCTGTGCTAGAACTTGAACAGAACATCAATACTCCTGAACTAAAGGAAAGAAACTCTCAGTGCTGCAGGTGCTCACCACCTCAGCATCTTCTGATTTCTAGGAAACAATCTGATACAGGAAAACAGTCCAACATAATAGCAGGTAGATAAGACAAAGTTGTAATAACAGAATTTTGAACACACATTTAAGAAACAGCAATATCCCATTCATTTTGAGAATCTGTAAATGACAAGTGCCATAGAATCAGCTGAAATATATGTAACCTTAAGGTACAGCAGAAATCCTCTTTTCAACGTGCGATACTAAACTTTAAAAAATAGAATCATACATTCACAAATGTAATAATTTAGCCTCAGTTTCTATATAAATAGCTAATTTTGTCTTCATCTTTTAACAAAATGCCCTTATACACTCTGGAGAATATTTGACATCTCAGTTTTCGTAACAAAAGCTTACAGGCGCTGTGGGACTTTGTTTGGGAAGAGCTTTAACCATTCTAAAATGTCTCTTGAGATGCCTCTGTGCGTTTCCCAGCAGTGGTGATTGAATAATATGTTGCCCAAAGGAGGCTGAACTGCAAGTGTTCCTTTAAAAACCAATGGAGCTGAAAATTGTTGTTGCTTAGTTCACAACATGCTCTTTTACCCTTCTTCAGCTAAGCTTTACTACTGCGATGTATTTTACTTCCTTCTTCAGCAAGTTCTGCAGCCTGAAATATTTCTAGTAAGAAAAGTAAGGAAGTTCAGTAGCAGTGCTGCCTCTGTAGTCATCAAGCATTTTAACCATATTAACAAAGGAAGTAACAAATTTCTAAACCCTACAAACATAAACACGGTATAATTTATCCTAGGGCATCTGCAATAGCAATCAACTTATGAGTCAGAGAACTCGTATTGATTAAATTTAAGTATGGCACTAGAGATTCAAACCTGTGCCTTCTGCCAGAGAGCTAGATTTTTTCTGTATCAGACAGTTTTATACCAGAAATACAAGGAGAAAGGGTGCAAATGTTTTTATTACTTCTCTATTTCCAGTATGTTCATCTTACTTTACTTTCAGCAACACTAACAAGTCTAGCTGTTGCGAGATGCATATAAAACAGTAATAAATTCTTGTGTAGCATTCACAATTGCTATCAACCACTCTTCCCAAAATGCTGTATTTCCAAGCAATTTATCTTTGCTTTTATGTTTTTAAAAGGCTACTTTGCCCTCCTACAGCAAAGCTCCTTTGCAGCAAACTGCTTTTGAAACCTGATATTCAAGCCATGTTATCTTTGAATAGCAAAAATAATTTAAAATATAAGTTCTGCTTTTGAGGTTTTTCAGCTAAAGTGACCACTAAGCATTTATACCGGAAATGCAACGGAAATGCATTTTTAAGACACAAAGATTTAATTAGAAGAGCAGACGTATACACATCATATAGATGCTATTTCAGTACAACAAAAAATATCTTCCATGGTTGCAATGTTGTTAAAATCTTAATAACAGTTAAATGACTACAGTTGCAGAATGAGGTCCAAACACAAAAATTCTTATATTCAAAAAACATCATGCCCAGAATCAGCAGAAATAAAAAGAAAATGTATCTTGCATAGTTTAAAAAAAAAAAAAATCTGGCATATATTGAGATCCACGTTTCAGTGGGTTTCAGTGGCATTTCTCTGGCTATCAGACAAATCATAAGGAAACAGGAAGAGTTGGGTTTCTATTCACCAAAGACTAAATTTCTTGTGTCAAATGCCACAAGAATGAGCTTTGGTAAATCTACGTGTAAACATTATGCATGATGGGAGGTGGTGGAGAGGAAATTGTTTCAAGAGTAACAGCCTACACAGTTAGCAGCTCTTGTTGCTCCTTTCCTAACAACATGTCAAGATGCACAGTGTAATCGAGGTCCAAGACATGAGTGGTGGCTCCCCCAAAAAGAACAAACATCTTGAGAAGTTGCTACCATTCTAATATCCCTCTTCCTTTAGTCCCAGTGTCTTTAAGTATCCTCCTCAGTGCTTCTGTGACTATCTGTGGTAAAGAAACATACCCTAGACCTACTTCCCCTTGAAATTAGAAGCAAGAAAGGTCAAGCTGGACCTTCTTTCCATTTTGAATATTAGTGATAATAATTATTAATTATATTAAATCCTGTTAGCCCAGCTACAGGGAGCCAGAGCAAAAGAAAGTGACAGATGTCAGAAACTCACACTTAATAGGAGGTGATGAGGTAGCAGATCCTTTAAAAGACTCACCATCATCCTCCAGAGACCACTGGCCTAGTTTTTAAGAATCTACTCCTGGTGACCTAGCCACTGTCAAGAGCAAGGAAGGGGTTGACTTGTTAGTCCACAGGGAATATGACATTTCCTACATGAACACACAGCCTCTCTGTGCCCAAATCACAAATACAAATCATAGGATGTTTAATCAATCAAGAATTGCTAAATAAAGACTAATACTTACCGGAAAGTTTTGACAAGATTTTTTAGCTCTGTGTAAACATCCCCCAGCATAATCTGAAGAGGGCCCAAAACTGCAGGTAATCTAGAAAGCAAGAGACACTGGTTAATGTTTCTGTGTCTTAATTTCTCCTGAAATAAGGCTTCCATCAGAGCTCGTTAAAGGTAATGAAAAGGGAAGAAAGTGTTTGTGCAATAGATTTGGCAGATAGTTTACATTTCTGATTCCTCTCGGTGCTTTTTGGGCAATATCTTTACTTTCACAACATTTTGATTATAAAAATAAGAAGCTCTAATTTATTGTAAATGTGAAGTAGAAATTGGATATCATTTTACACACATTTTCTATTAAATTCCATGTCAGTTCAGACATTTTTATGGTAAAAACAAATGTTTTTCATTATAAGTATTGGAATTTCAGTCTTCATAAATGCTTTAAAAGTTTATATTGGTTAAAAAATAACAATTGCAAAAAGAAAATTGCATGCCTAACTGTCATTCACACAAAGAATATATCTGCTAATCTTAGACTTACATATGATAAAAAAGGATGCAACAGAAATAACACTCCATTGGAAGTCTGATTATTGGAACAAAGATGTTAGCAGGGCAATCAGAAAATTTCAGTAACAGATTGCTTTCCTGCTTGAATGTATAAAACTTGAGAATGCTGCAAACTGTACAAACTGCTGAACAAGTTCTTGGTATCCCCAAATGCTAGCAATAACATCTATTGCTTTTCACATATTAGATGTAGATTTCAGCTAAAATGTCTGCCTCTTTGCTTGTTAACAACTTCTTGCATTTGAATATCCAATTATTTACACTTACTTATATGTGTGGGCACTGTGCTGATACTGTTGGAATAGTCAATATTTCTAGTTGTATTTATATCACTGTACCTTTTACTAGAACTGTGTATTCCCACCAATCTCATCTGAACCAAAAAATCAATTAAAACTACAGTTGAAATTACAAGTAGTATGTACATGAAGTGCACACAGCTATATATTGTTAATATTAACATATATGTATTTATTGCTGATTTTCAGTTGCTATTTTACATCCCTCTGAACCTGCTTTTAAAGAACTTAATTTAGACGCTTCAGATGTTTCCAGGAATCTGAGGGAAAGGAGGATGATAAATGAAGTGCTTTCTGCAGATTTTTGGAAGCACATTTTCATTTTAAGCTCCACGTGTTATAGCAACATTTAGAGCAAGAAAATATAGATATTTTCAGTAGGGGCACAGCTGAGTTCTAACAACTACTGACCAGCAGGAACATGCTGTCCTGCCAGCTTTGAATGCTACAACTTATCATCTACAAGCTCTGGTGCATGCAAGAATGGACAAGTTTATCTTAGAGACTATCTTAGTAGCAAGATTCTGACACTTATCTCAGCAGGTTGTGCAAACTGTTATCTGCTGCTCCATCATAGCATGATGGTGTCAAAAAGTCAAAAATAATTTATTTAGGGCAATACTGGTTTTGAATAATGCCACCCAGAAAAAGGTGAAGAATGTCCTTGCACAGTGTGTTCATTACTTAAAATGATGATGAAAGATCACCGATGTCAGCTTGATGATTACTGAAGTAAGGAATACTTACGCTCTTCTCAGTTTCTCGAGGACAATTCGCTTCCTAATTTGCATTTGTGCATTTGAATCAACAAGTGGGAACATGAGGTCTTCCTGTTGATCATTCTGTATTATAATATTAAAACCTTTAATTACAATCTAATATTTAATTGCAGTCAATGCACCAGAATAGTCACAGCTTATCAACTCATGTTTAAACATAGGAAGCTCTCATCTCTGAACAGAAAAAACAGCCAGTAGTGTCTTAATGGACAGAACTCTGGTTAATTTCACCCAACATAGAGTTTGCAGCTAACCTGCTTTTCCCCTTTCCTTGCAAAGCCATATGCTAGATACTTTAATTCAACTAATGGCAAATTTATTCACAAACTGTCTAAACTTTTTTACAAAAAGCAATGTAACTTCTTTATTTTAGAAGAAGCAATATTACAAAAGTTACACCCTCTTATGCTCATAATATACTTGACCTTTAAAAGCAAAAGCAATTTCACATGCTTGTACAAACTGTACAGCCTACCTAGGATAGTTAATGTACTGTTTTACTATAATGACAAGAAGACCTGGTTGCTGTCAGATGGTCTGCCTACCCTGATAAAAATTCAGACCACTCTGTATTTTCAGTTCTCCAAATCCTCCAGACTTTTTTCCCCCAAATTGTCTGTGTTGCAGCAACATATCCAAATAAATCAGCAGACACCAGCTTGGAGAATTTTAACTATAAGTAATGCCAGAGATCTAATCTTACTCAAAAGAAATAAATCCAATCTCAAGTACTCTGAATTAAAGGCAAAAAAAGAAGTTAATATAGATTTTATATAATGAATAAAAGGTGGAAGAAAAGAAATCCAGTTCCTCTTTCACCCAAGATCTACTCTGTCTAATGGGTTTGTTTCTAAGTAAACCTTATTTACCCTGCAAGGCAGCGGTTTTACAGAAAGCCTTTGTTATAGAAGTCCTATCTCTCCAGCTCACAGAAATCACCAGTTTTTCTTGCCAGTAAGCTATTCTCACACAAGGCTCTTTAACAGCTGCTTCTCATTGCAATTATGCAATGCTACAGTTGCAGAGTTGTAGAGATGATGAAAAGGATGGGCCTGGGAAGTGGTGACAGTGTTGTACTTCATTTTTCTACTAAGATTACAGTAGAAATAGTTCTACCTATTCTCATTTGCTACAAAAGCTACATAGGGCCTATATAGATCTTAACTTCTTTCCTGTTCCCGTTGCCAGTACTTCCCTCTTGTTTCAGCCCATGTTCAGATCGTGCTCAAGCAACCAAGTCATCTTTCATGTTTCAAAAACTGCAAGGAACCTACCAGAACTGAATGCTTCCCAAACAGTCAAATTCATTCTTATCAACTTAAAATAATTTTCTTCAATCTTAAGGGATTGTTTTGAATCTATCCAACCTTCTTAGTATTTTACATTAATAGCTTGATGATACCATGACCATATCTGCTTACAAAGGCAGCAACAAAGAGCTCATAATGTCTGTGCAGAAGCAGGATTTCAACAGCCCAGACACTGTTCCATCAGGCACTTACTTTGTCTGTACTTGAATGTTCATCTGCTTGTGTATGTGCTAACTCCTCTTCAGCCAAGATGTACTTTCCTTTATAGAACTCTCTTACTCGGAGTTGTAGGAACTCTGTTTCTTCTTTTAACTCTTCATAACTAGGCACAGGCTTAACTGTTTCACCTGAGCCCATAAAAGGTAAGGAATAGTTCAGACTGTTTTCAAACTTCCCTACAGCAGCGCTGTCAAGATCTTCAGGTGTATCTAAGTCATCCTCATCGAGTTCTTCATCTTCTTGGTTGGCAGACGATAGGCATTCTGATGACCATAAAGTGTAGTTTGGACCATACAAAAATCTTAAGGTTTCCTCAGTTCTCCATTCTGTAAGTGTTTGCTTAAGCAGTTCTAATAAACTGCATTTGGCAGCTGAGGAAGAAACTGAATCCCTCAGTTCAATTTTCTCATGTTGTTTTGAGTTAGCTAGTGTTTTAAGGTATTCTGCTCCTTTTTTACTCACACCTAGGAAGACTATCTGTGAATTGCTACAGGTATCTTCACAGTTCTCAGAAGCATTTGATTTTCCTAGAGTAGTATTTTTTGAGGGCATTGCAGTTATTTTCTCTTGAACAGTGCAAGCATGCATTTCTTCCTGAGCATTTAATTTACAGTTAGAGAGTCGTTCAGTGATTTCTACCACATCTGAGCCTTCAGATTTAGAGCTGGAATAAACTTTCTGAACGTGCTTCTTTTTGAGGATGCTGTTTCTGTGCAGTTGCTGTGCAAGATTGACTGAACTTGACTGACTTCCTGGTAGAACAGAAGAAACAAATTCCTGTTCGGTATCACTACTGCTATCACTGGCTGTGCCATAAGAAGCAGATTCACATGGATTTGAAGATACCCTAGGATTTTCAATGTCAGAAGATTTGATTACTTCATCACATAGTTTCACCTCTTCTCCAGATTGACCACTGTAACAGAAAACACAAGTCATCAAAATAAGAAATGCATGTTACATGAGACTGAAAAATTATTATATATAATTAGGAAAAATGGAACCTTGTTTGCTTACAGTAGATGTGTAATTTTTGCCCTAGAAATTATATTTAAACTTGTTCTAATGTTTTGCAATTAAGATAGTTTAAATGCTGTTTAGAGAAATTAGTTCCCAAATGCTTATTGGCAGTTAGAACAGCAAACAAGTTGTTATTAAAGACAACAAACTAAAGTTCCAATTTAATATGAAGAATTTTAAAGTACTTCCATTTTTAAAATGAAGATCAGTATCTCAGTATACATATGAATGTAGTACCTGAAAACAGTAGGCCACTAGAGCTTGTTTTTGGCATATATGTTTGCCATCTAATGGCTGGATGTTCCAAAAGAAAACAAAGTCACAATACACAGCAAGTACAGAGAGATGACAGAGTAACATGACTTCAATTGAGCTGATACTGATGTTTCAGAATAGGAAGTACAGAAGTTTTCGTCACCTATAATTGGTACCACTTTCTTTATAAAGAATAGATGGTATAAAATGTTTAAACTACAAACAGTGTTATTTGTTTCAGATTTCAGCAGGCTCAATTATGACACGAAGGCCAAGAGCAGCTGTACACTAAATCATACAGGTCAAACATGCTAGTTTAGAATCACAAAGGAAAAGAAATAAGACAAATAATCCTTTGTCTAACAAGGTCTCTTCAAAGATTTGCCTTTTACCTAATATAATGTTTATATTTCTAACTATAAATGCACGTAACAAATTACTGTTCAATGTACCTCTGTCCCCTCTTCAGCAGCTCTATGTCTGATGGTCTGCAAAAAGAATACAAGGAATGAAGACTAATTATTCTGCTAAATCAGTGCTCTTGAAATACACATACGCCGAAAACACATAGTTGAGGATGGAAAGAACCTCTAATGATCTCTTAGTCCAACATCCTTTGTTCACAGCAGGATTAGCTGGAACGGGCTCATACATACGCATTCACTAGCCAAATTTGTGTGGGCCAGTAGCATGATACATTTAACAACAACTAATCAAATCATGAAAACGTTAAGTCAGAAAGGACCTCTGGAGGTTTAATCTGATGTCCTGAGACAGTGAGCTTGTCACCAGCAGCAGATTAGGTCAGTCACACCTTATGTAAATTTCAATCTTGAAAATCTTGAGGATTGAGATTTTGGAACCTTTCTGTGTAGGCCGATTTGTTCCACCACTCTCTTAGAGCATCTTTTTCCCCAATGTTAATGTAAACAACTGATATTTATGGCCGACACTCCTTATTAAGTTTTCTGATAATAACCAAGACCAAGTTTAGGTCTGTAACCTATGTGACTTTTTTTTTTTTCTTCAAAAAGTTGTAGACTGTTTTCAGATCATCCCTTGGTTTTCTCTTCATCAAACTAAACGTGATCAGATCCTTATAAGTCACAAGGTCCCTATAGGAAAAACAATCCTGAGTAGTTTGCAGGAAAAATGCTCCAAATTGATACAGGAAATAGGAATATTCACAATATCTTCCTTTGAAATTGTTTTTAAAAAAATAGGCTATTAAGTTATAGTGATCTAAGATAATGGAGTCCCAAGGTTTCTGGAAACACTAAGAACTGTTACTGAACAGATTCTGAAGGATTTCTTGCCAGGTTTCTAGCTGCTGTTCTGCTTCATTTCAGTTATAAGGTAGCATCACAATGCTAATTTATTCAGCACTGAATATTGAAATCCACACCTGCCTTATGAATGACAAGGAACCTTTTAAGCATGCCTTGAATGTAAGTCAATGAAATAACACCTGAAACTCAGACAGTATATATAAAAAAAAACAACACATCCATACAACAGATTTAAAAGGATGACAGCTGCACTTTCCATATAAATGAACTGAGTCTGAAAAGTGAAGGTGATAAGATAGTGATTTAAGAGTAATTATGTGGTGCTAGTTTAAGTTTTAAATAGAAGTTTTTAGTTGTCTTATGCAAACAGATATTACTAGCCGTGCACTGCTTGTTGTTTGTGTTTGCTTGGTTTGTTTTGGAAAACATACCCACCTCAGCATAAATAATTATGTCAAACATCAGAACTCTGCTCTTTATGTTAACAAAGAGATATTAAAAACAGTTTCTTTACAGAGAGCAAAACCATGAAAACACTGGTAAGCTTACTTAACTATTTTACAGTTTTACCTAATTCTTCAGGTCAGGCTGTTCTCAGCCTCTTCTCTCACTGGCCCATATTTCATACAACTCCTCCCACTGTGAAACTGAACTCACACATAATTTCAGATTGTTTTCTCTGTTGAAAGCCAGGGTACTTGCTTAGACAATGAAAATTGAATAAATGAGCTGAACCTTCTCTGGGTGAGTATTTACTGCTGAGCAGTGACACCCAGTGGCTTGATTCATTGCTTGCACACCTATGTTTCTTAGCTTTTAATATATTAAAGCACAGACTACGTAACACTTCCAAAATGTATGCTGCATTAATAACAGAAAATAAGCAATCTGAAATGACAGTTTTATGAAGGATAAGGAAGTTCTTCATTCCACAGACTTTCAGTCTAACCTTAAGCCCAATGCAAGTGCTCTGTTAAAATGAGAAAATCTCTTGTCACAGAGTAAAACAAATTATTCCTTTACCTTACATGGCTTGTAAAAATCCAAATACATTTTAAAATTAATAGGAGTTTATTATTTATAACTAGTCTGCCCTCTAAACTAACACAATCAAGTCTGAGTGGTCATTACTAGAACTGGGCCATGTCAATTACAGTAATCCATATGGCAACAGCACTTAACATGAGCACCATGCTAAGTTGACACGTTAACATCACTTGTGTCTGCTCCAGTCTAACCACTTGGATGTATTGCAACTAATTAATTAGCATTGCAGCTTGGACAAAAAACAGTATCCTTGAGATGAGCTACAACTATATAAGGTCACACTTACATTTCTTCTTCTCGCATCCATACTGGACTCTTCGAAATTTGAGCTTCAAAATATTTAGATGCTTTATAGCAAAAGTTGCTGCAAAAGCACTGGAAATACAGTATGGAAAACGTGACTGAAAACATCATTAGTAATAATGACAACTTTAAAAAAAAAAAACACCAAAACTCTCAAGAGCAATCCTGAACCCTGTAAAATGTCCATATAGTTTAAAAGATGTGCAATAATATGTAGGTGTTTAACAATGTAAATCCTGGTTTTTTTTGTCACATTTTTCAATATGGCTCCTAGAATTTTGCAGCATCCTAAGAAAAAAAAATTATTTTGCACAGTTGTGTCAGATAAGACGACAGAACATCCTAGCACTTCTCAGACTCAAGCTTGGTAGCTTGGAGATGGAAATGCACTACTTAGGAACTTCATAGTCAAATAGTTTATGAAAATGATTTTCATGAGATCCAAATGCATTGGTTCTGATTCAACCCACTATATGAGTGCTGTTACAAAATGTATTTGTAATGTGGAGACAGTATTAAATACACTTAAAAAACAGCTTGTTACCATACCTTTCTTTCAGTAATGTCATAAACTCTGTTAGTTTTTGTTGAAATCCTGTACTTCTGTTTTGGCACCTAAAATGATATGTTGCTTTCATCAGCAAGATTGTCACATTGTTACATAAAACTTTCCTCCTAATTCACATTTTCAGTACACGGAATGCTCTCAGTTAGTTGAATTACATACTACACCAACCTTTTCGCTCAACTCTCTTGGTATTTTATCTCCTTAGACATAAGAACTGCAATTTCTCATTATTTACAGCTTAGTAGGCATCTTCAGGTGTACAAAAAAGCCTCTGCTGGGAGTGAATCAATTGCAAAACTGTACATATTTTTTCTTTCATGATTTTTTTTCCCAGATAACTTCTTGTATCGCGACTGGTATTACACCATAGGTTATGTACCTGAACTCAGCTCTGATATATTGCATTTAAGTGTGACTGATTTTGACACAAGTAACATCCGTTTTTGGAGGGGATTTGCAGTCACAAAGTAATGCCCACGTGTTTTACCTTTTTTCATTTCAGCCCATCTTACCGAGGTGCAGAAGGACAAGATTAGAGTGCTTCTGCGTGCATGAAGGATGGCTATGAAACCATACCTTATTCACCTTTATTACTATCAAAATAGATTATAATTGATTCTCTTATACAGCAATGGTTGTCAACCAGTCAGATTTAACTTTTTACTTCAGAAGCATTGTACTGAAATGATACCTGACCAAATCTATGATTAACATTCCAAGTTTAAAATGAAAAAAATAAGCAAGAGAATAAAAAATGCTAATAGATTCTTACGATGACACTACTCATAAAAAAGCATCTTACATTTTCCAGTTTATTTCGACATACAGGGTAACCACATAGTTTGATGATAGACCGTTCATCAACAATGTCTTTATAGTGAGATGGAGTAATACATTTTCCCTGCAATAAGAAGAAAATAGTTCAAAAACAGATACTGAAAGATCTGTCATTTTTCATACTCAAATGAGAATAAGCAAATACAAACTTTCCATTTTATAACAGCGGGTTATAAAATAATAAATAGGTTAATAAACAGCACTGAGAACCCACCCAGTAAAAAATAGTAAAAAGTTTTAAAAAAACACACACATACTTATTTTTGCATATACAAGCACTTCATCATATACCTCTAGTGCAGCTATTCTCTCAATTTTCCTCTCTTTACATGTTACATACACCTACCTGCCATCATATTTACAACCTTAACAGGAATAATCCTCATATCTTCCCAGTAAAACTGCTGCCAGATGAATCGTGTGGAAAAGAGTACCATTGTCTAAATTCATAGAGGGCATGACACAGACCTAACTTTTTGTACTTCCCAGAGGCATAAACAAAGTATGCTTACAGACAGAGATTCATAGTTTTATCTCATCCTACAAAACTGGAGCATATTTTTTTTATTGCAGAACCCTTGAAAATAAGGTAACCATCAACAGAGCTGACAAGAGAGAATGGACTTGTCCGCTCTGAACTCCAGCAAACTGTTCTAAGAACTTTAAAAAACAGTTGGAGATTAAGATACAAAATAATACCAAAACTTACAACACCTACAGAATTCAGAAGGAACTCTTCAGTAATGTTCTCTTCTAGGAGTTGCTCAACAATATGCAGTGCCTTTTTCTCAAGTTCAATCTTTTTTCTAGTAGAAGCCTCCAGCGCTGCTTTCCTGTAACATAAGAGATGTTAAATGAAACAGCAGCTCCTATAAGCAATTCCCAAAGTGAATATTTGTCTTCTTTTCTAAAATACAGTAGCTTGCATTTTCTGTATCTCATGAAGTTGGCCAAACAAAGCAACAAGTGGACTATAAATTTTGTAATTTTGCTTTATTTTCTCCCCAGTCTGGAAAAGTTGCCAAACCACAACAGAATTATTTCAGTTTTGCACACACCCATTGGTCGTGTATTTTCTTGTATCTTCCATGTATCTGCAGTGAGGCATATTTTAACATATTCTCTTAATATACATAGATTTTAGCCTTTGCTAAATGTTATTCTGATTCTGCAATACAGGGTGATTAAACTACAGCAGCTAAGTGATAGAATGGAGACAATTCTTGTAGCTCTGCCTCCTGCAGGAAAGAAGTTCTCCTGCCACCTGTGTCACCACTGTGAGTCTGAATTCCTTTGGGCAGCTTTCCCCAATGGGCGGCTGTCTGACATCTCTGTGGGGAGCAGGTGGCAGAGGCAGCTGTACTATTGCATTCTGTGCTGGTTAAAGGGGACGCAGCTTTCAGCCCTGTTAAGATGTTATGTGCAGCTCTGGCCAAACAGGATGGCTGTGCCTATTATCAGCAATGCTAAACTGATGTTCAGTTAAAAGACGCGCAGCATCACGCCAAAAACCTGCAGGAGGTGGATGCTGGTGGTCTCTGGAAGTCAGTTATCTCTAAGAAAGCCAAAAACACGGGAGGAAGAGTTACAAAGACCACCATACGTTGCTTGCTAGAAATGGTACCTCTGAGCAGCATCTTCATTTTTTGGAGCAGCTGACCGTTTATTTCCTAGAAATCAAAAACATGGACCCATATAAGTGACTTTTCTTCCTGTAGCAATGGAAAACATTGGTACTTTTAAAAAATATGAAGACTTCTGCAAGCACAGTGGAATGCACAGAACCTCACTTTTGGTGCCTATGCCTTCAGCAAGGCAATAACCACTCAGCAACGTCAGGCACAGCTTTTGTACCGCTCCTGGGGTAAGCACGGCCTGCCCTAACCTGGACGCGGAGCCGATACGCCTAGAATATGTATTTTTAGGTGAAAGCTCTCTGCAACCGGAGACGCGGAGACACCGGCCGCCGGCAGCCTGACGCGCTGCCGCAGTCCCCGCAGAGCCCGATGGGGCTCGGGCCCGCCTCATCCGACCGCTTGCCGTGAGCCCGGCCCCAGGCAGCCGCTCTCTGACCCCCGCCGTGCAGCCTGCCTGGACGAGCCGAGCCGCCCCGAACTCGCGGCATCATCGTGTACCGCCAGCCGAGGCCGTCCTGCCGCCCGGCGCAACGAGGAGCGCGAGCCCGCTATGCCAGCCTGCGGACGCTGCGCGGCGCGGAATTCACCTGCGCGCCGCCGGCCGGGCCTCCCCTTCGAGCTGCCCTGCGGCTTCCCGTCCGCCATCACGGTGCTGCCGGCTCCCTCCCTCTGACCTCTCACCGGAGGCGGAGCCGCGTCGGCCCGGGCCGGGAGCGAGGAGGGGCTGGAGAGCGGCGCGGCTGCGGTGGAAGCTGCGAGCGGTGAGCGCTTCTCACGGGCTTTGTTTGTTTTTAATTCAGCCCTGGGTTAAAGGCTTACGTTAGCGGCGCCTCGTGCGGGCGTGTGCTGCGCCTCGCCCCGGGAAGCTGCCGAGGAATGTGTTTAATAGAGGAGCGAGAGCGCTGGGTGTCAGCGGCAGAAAGCTCCTGATTGTTTCGATGCCGTGCGTTTGCCGCTGGAACCACTGGAAAGATGTGATTAAAAACCGAGTTAAGTCTTGAGGCCCGAGAGCGTGTGGGAGCTGAGCGGCAGGTCCTGCTGCGCCGTGCGTGCCGTCACGTGTCCGCGGCGGGGAAGGAGAAACGGCGGCGTGTTGGTGTTGGTCTGAGGGCGCGTGACGTCCTCGCAAACGGGCGGCTGGGAGCGCGGCGTGCGCGAATGGAGCGCGTGGTGTTGCGGAATTGAAAGATCAGGCTGGGGACGCTGCCGCACTGCAGGGAGGTACAGGTGTTAGAACAGGCGGCTGTATTCTCTGAGCATTAAAGTTTGCACACGTGTGTTTTTATGCTGTTGTGAGTTGGCTGGGTTTTGTGTTAGGTAGCCGAGGTCAAGCTCAAAAGGAAGGATGGAGGATGGCATGTTGTAAGAATGTAAAGTCTGGGTGCTTTGATGAACGGTTTGCTAATTATCCAAGGGCAGAGGTGATGGATAGGCACAGTGGTTGTATAACCAGACTTAGGCAGAAGAAAGTACTCAAAACTGTGAAAGTAAGCAAACAGAAATCCCCAAGCTTGAAGTTTTCAGAGATAAAGGATCTGGAGATAAAAGACCGCTTAATCAGCCAACCCAGACGTTGCAAAAAAGTAAATGATGTTGCATATGTAGTCTTGACTGGACTGAAACACTGTTGGTACAAGGCAGCAGGCACCTGCATGCACTGTGCCTCTCCCAGGCAACAAGCAGAGTGCTCACCAGTGAGGGCACCCCCAGAAAGCACCGCATGGGGATCTGGTGGCGTGCAGCGAGCTTGGATGTGCTCCGTGTTGGCTGCAGTTGTCAATGAACATGGCTGTGCAGTAGCTAAGAGATTGTTCTCATTTCTCTATTTGATGTCTTTTTATTAACATGGTTTTCAAAAATTTCTGTGTTTACTTCATGCGTTTTAATACTGTACCTTTTAATTCATAATAGTTTTCAATGCCTGAAGAACAAACTGAAACTGTAATGGCAGTTGATGAACTTCAAGCCATAATAGAAAGATGCGTAAGTACTTCCCTTAAAAGTCACAAATGCAAGCAGTGTAAGTTTCACTTTATGACTTCAAAACACAAGACGCTTGTTAGCAGATCTCCTCCCTGTTATCTGGATTCAGACTCCATGTTTCATTGACTTCTCCGTGACACTTATCCCAGGTTCTCCCTCTTGGAGAAAGAAGTGTTCTTGTTTCTCTCACAGAATCACAGAACTGCAGGGGTTGGAAGGGACCTCCAGAGATCATTGAGTCCAGCCCCCCTGCAAAGCAGGCCTCTTATGGTAGGCTGCATAGGTGGGTGTCCAGGAGTAGTCTTGAACGTCTCCAGAGAAGGAGAACCTCCCTGGGTAGCCTGTTCCAGCGCTCTGTCACCATTACCATAAAGAAGTTCCTTTGCATATTGGTGCAGAGCTTCCTGTGCTTCAGTTTATATCTGTTTCCCTTTGTCCTGTCCCCACAGACTGCTGAAAAGAGGTTGGTCACGTCCCTTGGACTCCCACACTTAAGATATTTATAGGCATTAATAAGATCACCTCTGAGTCTTCTTTTCTAAAGGCTGAACAGACTCAGTTCGCTCAGCCTTTCCTCACAGGGGAAATGTGGCCCTTTATCATTTTTGTGTCCCTCCATTGGACTCGCTGTCTTTTTTGCAACGGGAAGCCCAGAAGTGGATCCAGTACTCAGAACTGGATCCAGTACTCAAAGTGGATGCAGTACTCCATATCACGGGCATCTTCTAGATAGCCAACCGCAGTTTAGACTTAGAAATAGCTACTGAAATACTGCTTTATCTTCTGTGGTAGCTCTTGGTAACCTCTTACGTATTATCCTTTATGTATTAAAAGAAAAGTTACGGTGACACTACATCTACTTTTGAAAAGGAAGCTTACGTTTACCTATTTTTGTATTTACCTTTTTTAAAATAAGGAGTTAAGCATGCTAATTTTCTTTATAGCAAATTCTGGAAGAAGCTGATTTTAGAGGAGAAGATTATGATCTGTTTCAGGTAGCAGGTCAGAAATGTTTAGAAGATGGGTATGCTGCTCAGTTATTAGAAGTGATTCAAAATGTGAAAAATAAGGTGAGTTGAAGTTTGACTTCCATAAATACGATCCTTCTGGGTTTAGAAAACGTGCAGTTTTTGTTGATTCTCTGAAAATCTGATTCGTAGGTTATCATCAAGAATATGGGTTGGAATCTCATCTCTCCTCTTGTTAGATGTATTTTAGCATATAAAAAGGAAGATGAGAAGCGAGAACTCTGCCTGAAGATACTAGATCAATTGGTGCAGGTATGTTTTTGAAATACATGATTGTAACAACATACTTTTAAGGAAGGTGCAGAAATTCTTTCTGACTTGAAGAGAAAATAGGACATGAGCGCTTCTGAGTTCTTCTGTCCATTCCACATCACTGTTAAACTCATGGTCCAGTTTTATCTGAAATAGACGCAGCAACAGCATTCTCAGAGGTAGTGAACTTTTTAATAAATTTCAACAATTTTAGACAAAACCAAGCTAGACATCATCCAATACAAAGTCCTTTGCAACCAACTTTTGCAGTTAGTGTAGCCACAGCAAGGCTACCTCTTGTCTGTGGCAGGTCATCGAATGATTTGAAAGCACCCAGAAGTTTTATTGAGTCCAACTACTGCCTACACACAGGGCCACCCAAAATTCAAGCCCTGTGTCTGAGGGTGTGCTCCAGAAACTTAGTAGACTCTGGCAGGATTTGGGCTGTGACAGTGGATAGCTGACTGTTCTGGTGAAGCCATAGGGAAATAAGATTTAATCTGCAGGAAATTCCCTTTCAGTTCCTTTTCAATTATCTACTGGGAAAACAATTTGCAAATTAAACCAAATTCACACTGAAGTTTTTCTTTTCTCTCTACTACTAAGGAATAACTTCTTGCTGAAGTACTATGAAGTGCCCATACAGAATAGCAAATCTAATGGCACTAAACTTGATTTCTGTGTTTTCAGCTTATGTGAAAGTGTACTTGCATTTACACTCAGTACATTTACTATAGGGATATATTTATTGTTTTATATTTGATTCTTTAAAGATAATTTGGGATGTTCTAATCTGTTTTCTTAATGTTCAGGAGTTTCGGTTGTGGTTTGTTTGTGATGTGTTTTTTTTCTCCTGTTTGTTTGGTTTATATTTTATAACTGTGGTGATAAAACATGCATATTGTTCATCTCTTGTAGCTGTGCAATCCAAAGGAACTTTTTTTGGGTTTACTTGAGCAGATTGAACAGACATCAGGAGAGCAGGTGTGCCAGACTATCATGTTACTGCTTCAACCTTTGCAGACAGGTAACACTGACTGTCTCGTGTGATTTCTGACAACAAAATTAATTAATTTATTTATATATGTATATGTTTATTTATTTATCTATCAGATTAGCTTAACCTTTGGTGAAGTAATTTAAGAAGATTTTAAATAAGATTGATAACCTCAGTTGAAAAAGCAACATTTTTCTTCATTCATGAAATTTGGTTATTATTTGTAGTTGTAAACTGCTCGTATCCTTGTTGCAGAAATGGGGTTACATGGACTCATAGATGTGGAGAATTCATTATTAAACATTTAAAACTTTAAAATTATAAAACTTCTACTTGTAATTGAAACGGGTTGAAAAATATGAATTGAAAAACTGCTTTCTTCTGTTTTATGTGCAAAAATTAAAAATACAGATTGAGATACTAGTTAAGTAGGTAACAAGTAGTAGTTTCTCTCTTGGTATGTGAAAATGAATCACACTTCTTATCAAGTTTAAGTCCAATTATAGCAGTCTCTGAGCTCTGTTACTGAATTAAGTTAGAATTTAACAAGAGAAGCACTTTGATAATGAGAAATATGTATTTTGTTGCATATCAATCTGCAGCTGGTGTGCACTGAGATCAGTTTAAATGGAAAGTGACTTGTGCTGCTTCCTCAGGCTGGGGGACCCCATGTTGTTTTTGCTACAGACTACAGAGCAGCTCTGAGCTCCTTAATGAAGAGTCAGACCTCAGCAGAAAGTTTTGTCAAACGAGAAAGAGTAAAGCAAGAAGGCCATACGAAAGAAGTTTTCCAGGCCAGAGAAATGGACATTATTTCGTTTAGGCTAGTTCTAGAAAGACAAATTTTTCAGTCTTTGTGACTTTGCAACAAAGAGGAATGTGTGGAAATTCAAGACTCCTTTAATACATCGTTCTCAACTCTATGGTACAGTGAAATAGATTAACTAATAATGGTGATAAGCTGATAAGTCTTGCTGGATTTGTCCATCTGAATTGAGATATTACTTCTTTTGCTCCCCTGAAAGTGAAGACTTTCTAATACAGTGACATCATAGTTCTTCACACATTCCTCCAGCAAATATTAACTTAATGTCTCAAAATGTTCTTTTTGTTTCAGTGCTTTTGAAGCTTCAGAACAAGAAGGCCTACTCGGTGGGCTTATCTTTGGCCATGATTATGAATCAGCTTACTGCCTTGCCTGTTCCTTATACGAAGCAACAAATACAAGAAGATGAACTTGGTCTCTGCCAGTGTTGTAATGCAGTGGTGGACTTTGCTAAACCTTTTGTGAATGAAGTTGTTAAAAACGTGGAAAAGTCATCAGAATACAATGACACGGAGCTGAAAGAAGAATTATTGAAGTTGTGAGCATTTAGTATTAGCTTAATATATTCCTGTAAAGAAACAAAATGAACAGTAAACATTTATTACGCATGCAGTAGATAAATAATCTTACTAAAGG